CAGCCGCCATGTGTTGGAGTTCTCCCCGGTGAATGAGAGGGTCGCGTCCCTCCGCTTACTGGTGGGGGACAAGTCTCTCACTGTTGTGATTAACGGCAGTGCAAGGTACCTGGCCTTCTTGGAGTCCCTGTCCCTCAACGCCAATGTGGGAAATGGCAGTGACACTTGGAGAGGGGTGATCGGGAAGAACGGCCCTCCTCATCTCACCCAGAGCGGTGTTCAGTTGTTGGACTTCTGTGCCAGTCACGGTTTGTCCATCACAAACACCATGTTCCAGCACAAGGGTGTCCACCAGTGCAGGTGGCACCAGGACACCCTAGGCCGGAGGTCGATGATTGACTTTGCCATTGTATCATCTGACCTTCGACCGGGTGTCTCAGACACTCGGGGAGGGAGGCAGAGCTGTCAACCGATTTTTAGAGTTTTTAAACATAATTTCAAGGCCTGAGCCCCATAGCCCTCAGGTAGTACTATTATTTAAAAGTGGTTTGGAGTAAATGGGTCAAATGCCCTAAAAGCTATTGAAGAAAAACTGGTATTTTTAGGCAAAAAATAATTTTAAAAGCTTTTAAGAACAATTTCAAGGGCTGAGCCCCATAGCCCTCAGGTAGTACTATTATTTAAAAGTGGTTTGGAGTAAATGGGTCAAATGCCCTAAAAGCTATTGAAGAAAAACTGGTATTTTAACCAAATAAGCTATTGAAGAAAAACTGGTATTTTAACCAAATAAATCATTTAAAAATGTTAAAAGCTTTTAAGAACAATTTCAAGGGCTGAGCCCCATAGCCCTCAGGTAGTACTATTATTTAAAAGTGGTTTGGAGTAAATGGGTCAAATGCCCTAAAAGCTATTGAAGAAAAACTGGTATTTTTAACCAAATAAATCATTTAAAAATGTTAAAAGCTTTTAAGAACAATTTCAAGGGTTGAGCCCCATAGCCCTCATTTAGTACTATTATTTAAAAGGGGTTTGGAGTAAATGGGTCAAATACCCTAAAAGCTATTGAAGAAAAAACTGGTATTTTTAACCAAATAAATCATTTAAAAATGTTAAAAGCTTTTAAGAACAATTTCAAGGGTTGAGCCCCATAGCCCTCATTTAGTACTATTATTTAAAAGGGGTTTGGAGTAAATGGGTCAAATGCCCTAAAAGCTATTGAAGAAAAACTGGTATTTTTAGGCAAAAAATAATTTTAAAAGCTTTTAAGAACAATTTCAAGGGCTGAGCCCCATAGCCCTCAGGTAGTACTATTATTTAAAAGTGGTTTGGAGTAAATGGGTCAAATGCCCTAAAAGCTATTGAAGAAAAACTGGTATTTTAACCAAATAAGCTATTGAAGAAAAACTGGTATTTTAACCAAATAAATCATTTAAAAATGTTAAAAGCTTTTAAGAACAATTTCAAGGGCTGAGCCCCATAGCCCTCAGGTAGTACTATTATTTAAAAGGTGGTTTGGAGTAAATGGGTCAAATGCCCTAAAAGCTATTGAAGAAAAACTGGTATTTTTAACCAAATAAATCATTTAAAAATGTTAAAAGCTTTTAAGAACAATTTCAAGGGTTGAGCCCCATAGCCCTCATTTAGTACTATTATTTAAAAGGGGTTTGGAGTAAATGGGTCAAATACCCTAAAAGCTATTGAAGAAAAACTGGTATTTTTAACCAAATAAATCATTTAAAAATGTTAAAAGCTTTTAAGAACAATTTCAAGGGTTGAGCCCCATAGCCCTCATTTAGTACTATTATTTAAAAGGGGTTTGGAGTAAATGGGTCATATGCCCTAAAAGCTATTGAAGAAAAACTGGTATTTTTAGGCAACAAATAATTTTAAAAGCTTTTAAGAACAATTTCAAGGGCTGAGCCCCATAGCCCTCAGGTAGTACTATTATTTAAAAGTGGTTTGGAGTAAATGGGTCAAATGCCCTGAAAGCTATTGAAGAAAAACTGGTATTTTAACCAAATAAATCATTTAAAAATGTTAAAAGCTTTTAAGAACAATTTCAAGGGTTGAGCCCCATAGCCCTCAGGTAGTACTATTATTTAAAAGTGGTTTGGAGTAAATGGGTCAAATGCCCTAAAAGCTATTGAAGAAAAACTGGTATTTTTAACCAAATAAATCATTTAAAAATGTTAAAAGCTTTTAAGAACAATTTCAAGGGTTGAGCCCCATAGCCCTCATTTAGTACTATTATTTAAAAGGGGTTTGGAGTAAATGGGTCAAATACCCTAAAAGCTATTGAAGAAAAACTGGTATTTTTAACCAAATAAATCATTTAAAAATGTTAAAAACTTTTAAGAACAATGTCAAGGGTTGAGCCCCATAGCCCTCAGGTAGTACTATTATTTAAAAGGGGTTTGGAGTAAATGGGTCAAATACCCTAAAAGCTATTGAAGAAAAACTGGTATTTTTAACCAAATAAATCATTTAAAAATGTTAAAAGCTTTTAAGAACAATTTCAAGGGTTGAGCCCCATAGCCCTCAGGTAGTACTATTATTTAAAAGTGGTTTGGAGTAAATGGGTCAAATGCCCTAAAAGCTATTGAAGAAAAACTGGTATTTTTAACCAAAAAAATCATTTAAAAATGTTAAAAGCTTTTAAGAACAATTTCAAGGGTTGAGCCCCATAGCCCTCATTTAGTACTATTATTTAAAAGGGGTTTGGAGTAAATGGGTCAAATGCCCTAAAAGCTATTGAAGAAAAACTGGTATTTTAACTAAATAAATCATTTACAAATGTTAAAAGCTTTTAAGAACAATTTCAAGGGCTGAGCCCCATAGCCCTCAGGTAGTACTATTATTTAAAAGTGGTTTGGAGTAAATGGGTCAAATGCCCTAAAAGCTATTGAAGAAAAAGTGGTATTTTTAACCAAATAAATCATTTAAAAATGTTAAAAGCTTTTAAGAACAATTTCAAGGGCTGAGCCCCATAGCCCTCATTTAGTACTATTATTTAAAAGTGGTTTGGAGTAAATGGGTCAAATGCCCTAAAAGCTATTGAAGAAAAACTGGTATTTTTAACCAAAAAAATAATTTTAAAAGCTTTTAAGAACAATTTCAAGGGCTGAGCCCCATAGCCCTCAGGTAGTACTATTATTTAAAAGTGGTTTGGAGTAAATGGGTCAAATGCCCTAAAAGCTATTGAATAAAAACTGGTATTTTTAACCCAAAAATAATTTTAAAAGCTTTTAAGAAAAAATTCAAGGGCTGAGCCCCATAGCCTAGAGGTAGTACTAATTTTGTAAAGTGTTTTGGGGTGACTGGGTCAAATACCCTAAAAGGTATTTGAGGAAAAACCCATACTTTATATAAAAAAATCCTTGAAAAATACACCAAATCTACTAAGCATAATTTTCATGCCTGAGCCCCCATAGGGCTCTCGAGGAAGTACTAATTTTTGTAAAGTATTCCTGTGGTGATGCTGGTCAAATGCTCTAAAAGCTATTGAGGAAAACACCCATACTTTCCATTATAAATCCTTGAAACAATACCACCAAAATCTATTCCAGCATAATTTCCATGGCCTGAGCCCCATAGCCTAGAGGTCAGTACTAATTTTGTAAAGTATTTTGGGTTGACTGGGTCCAATGCCCTAAAAGCTATTGACGGAAAATCCCATACTTTAAATAAATAAATCCGTGAAAAATACAACCAAAAATCCTATTTCCCGCATAATTTCCATGGCCTGAGCCCTAACAACCATAGCCTAGATGAAGTACTAATTGGTGTAAAGTGGTTTTGGGGTGACTGGGTCAAATGCCCTAAAAGTTATTGAGGTAACACCCAGACTTTATATAAAAAGAATCCTGGGTATTTTCCCACAAATGCTCTAAAAGCTATTGAGGAAAAACCCATACTTTCTATTAAAAATCCTTGAAAAATACACCAAATCTATTCAGCATAATTTCATGGCCTGAGCCCCATAGCCTAGAGGTAGTACTAATTTTGTAAAGTGTTCTGGGGTGACTGGGTCAAATGCCTTAAAAGCTATTGAGGAAAAACCCATACTTTCAATCAAAAATCCTTGAAAAATACACCAAATCTATTAAGCATAATTTCATTGCCTGAGCCCCATAGCCTAGAGGTAGTACTAATTTTGTAAAGTGTTTTGGGGTGACTGGGTCAAATGCTCTAAAAGCTATTGAGGAAAAACCCATACTTTCTA